AACGTACGTACGACGAACGTAGGTACGGACGTACGGTACGGTACGTACGTAACGTACGTACGTTACGTACCCTACCCTACCCTACCGTCCATATATATATATATATATATATATATATATATATACACGTGTGTTTGAGGTGCCTACTTAGTGCCTAGGGACCTCCCCGGCCACCTACGCAGCATCTAGTGCTCTTTACAACATTGATAAGATATGTATGAAAGTGTCTGACATGGTTATGAGTGCCATAAATGCTAACCACAAAATTGTTATTTTATATATGACATGTAAATACATTATTTAGAGAAGGGGGATGGTGGTATTTTTAGTGACACTATTTTTACAGTAACATTTCAGCAATAACAGTTAAGAAATGTTCATCTAAAGTGCCAAATACACATGTCACATCCTGGATGTGCCCACACATGCCAAAAACTGTAGACAATTGAGTCTGAGTTACATAGCTTAGGACCTTCATAGGGTTTTTGCGACTCAAACAAATGAGTAAGCAAAGACAGTAGTGGCAGGTCTTAGGCTTTTCTTCAACATCTTTACAGCCTGTTTATGGCAGGTGAGCCACTTAAGGTTTCTAGACTGGCTCACAGAAAGACATATTACACCTAGATACACAATTACACACTACACTAGTATCATGAAGTCGTATCCAATGGGGCCAAAGGGTGTTTATCTCCTATTTCCACATACTTAGAGAGGCTAGTGTTGAGACAGATTCTCTGACGAGAATCTGCTTTGGTTGAGAACTCTGTTTCTTCCTCTTGACCTTTCTATATGTTGTTGGTTTCTTCTTTTCCTTCTAGTGGTCTCTTCTTATGTTCTTGTTTTCAAAAAAAAAAAATTTTTTTTGCCTTTTTACTTTCCTTTGAAACTTATGACCTTTGGTTGCATGAAAGAAATACAAGGAAACCAATAATGAGACAGCTAGCAATTCTGATGACTAATCATTTCATTTAGTATAAACTATAAAAATAAGGATCTATGATTTCTCAAGATCCCATACTTTCACACAGAAACAAAAGCTCTACAATTCATGATTTCCGCTCAAATGGTTTCTACATTCCAAACCAAAAGTTTCAACGATAAATAAACAGATACCTTGCAAAGCACAAACTCCATTCAAAAAATTTAAAAAAAGACCTACAAGATTAAGTTCAAACATTAATGATGAACAATTAATATCAAAATCATAAAATATAGAATGCATTCCGGTTTTCCTTGAACAAGTAAAATCATTATCATCAGCATTTTAGCCTTTTCCCAATTAATTGGAGTCGGCTAAATGAATATTGGTTATCCATTCTGCTCTATTAAAGGTCATATCCTCAATGAGGTCATGAGTCCCATATCTTTTTGGACTACTTCCAACAACGTCCTTTTAGGCTTACCCTTTGCCCTTTTCAGTCCTTCCACTTGAACAAACTCGCACCTCCTAACAGGTGTTGTACTTGGTCGGCACCATACATGGCCAGCCCACCTAAGACTATACTCTCTCTCATTTTATCGCCTATTGGTGCCACGCCTAAATTCCCTCAAATAGATTCATTTCGAATTCTATCCCTTCTTGTCTTGCCACTCATCCATCTCATAATCCTCATCTCTGCTATACTCATTCTATGGGTATATTGTTTTTTGTCCGCCCAACATTCCACCCCATAGAGTAAGATGGCCTCACCGCTATGCTCATCGTAGAGCAAAGCTTGTCCGCCCAATATTCCGCCCCATAGAGCAAAGCTTGTCCGCCCAACATTCCGGCCCATAGAGCAAAGCTTGTCTGCCCAACATTCCGCCCCATAGAACAAAGCTGGGCCTATAGAGCAAAGCTGGTCTCACCACCTCAAATGGCTAATCATTTCATTTAGTATAAACTATAAAAATAAGGATTTATCATTTCTCAAGATCCCATACTTTCACACTGAAACAAAAACTCTACAATTCATGATTTCCATTCAAATGGTTTCTACATTCCAAACCAAAAGTTTCAATGATAAATAAACAGATTCCTTGCAAAGCACAAACTCCATTCAAAAAATTTTAAAAAAAACCTACAAGATTAAGTTCAAATATTAATGATGAACAATTAAAATCAAAATCATAAAATATAGAATGCGTTCCGGTTTTCCTTGAACAAGTAAAATCATTATCATCATCATTTTAGCCTTTTCCCAATTAATTGGGGTCGGCTATATGAATATTGGTTCTTTATTCTACTCTATTAAAGGTCATATCCTCAATGAGGTCATAAGTCCCATATCTTTTTGGACTACTTCCAACCACGTCCTTTTGGGCCTACCCCTTGCCCTTTTCAGTCCTTCCACTTGAACAAACTCGCACCTCCTAACAGGTGTTGTACTTGGTCGGCGCCATACTTGGCCAGCCCACTTAAGTCTACTCTCTCTCATTTTATCGCCTATTGGTGCCACGCCTAAATTCCCTCAAATAGATTCATTTCGAATTCTATCCCTTATTGTCTTGCCACTCATCCATCTCATCATCCTCATCTCCGCTATACTCATTCTATGGCTATATTGTTTTTTGTCCGCCCAGCATTCCGCCCCATAGAGCAAAGCTGGTCTCACTGTTGTCTTATAGAACTTGCCCTTCAACCTCATTGGTATGCGGTGATCACATAAAATTTCAGTTGCACATCTCTACTTTGCCTAACCAGCTCGAATTTTGTGTGCAACATCTTCCTCAATCTCTCCATTTTCATGAATTATCAACCCAAGCTATTGAAAGTGCGGTCTTTTTTGTATTTCCTGACCGTCAATCTTAACTACTTCTTCATCTCATAAAATATAGAATGTGTTTCGGTTTTCCTTGAGATGAGATTTAATACAATTTATGGAGTGTGAACTTATTGTAACTTGCATATATTTTCTGTACAATATTTTCTTTCCTCTTTTGTGTAACCATATTAGGAAGATGGTTTATTCATACGTTTCTCTTCGTAACAATACACAATTTTTACACAGTATGTAACCCTATAAATTGGGGGTCTTGTACACAATTTCAATATATAGAGAAATACAATATTTTCTATATAGTATCAAAGCGAGGTCCCAATTTGGCACTCCTCTCTCAAGTATCGTGCCATTGTATTAAGAATGAGTCCTTCTAATGATTGGTTTGACTCGATATCAATTGCCACAACATATTTCTTCTTCTTCTTTGGGCATGTAAATTTCATGCGCCTAAGTTCTTTACAATAGTTGCACCTTACAGAAGACATATCACATATCCTGATGAGGAGCATAAGTGCAGTCTTATTTGAACTCTTTTCTTTCTAAATTTCCAGTGGCAACAAATACCGTATTCCCAAGAAAATGGTACAAATAGACTTTATCTTAATCTCTTCATCAATCAGCTAAGAAAGAGCTTTAGTTAGAAAAGGAAGAGTGGTTATGTGTAGCATGGCGTTATAAACACCCTCAAACTCAGGTCGAAGAGCCATCAGAAATTCAATCACTTGAAATTCATTTCATGGTTTCTCAACTATTTTCAAACTAGGACCATCTTTAATTTCAGGCTCCATAAGGGCCAATGAGTCCCAAAGCGCTTTCATAGAGGAATAGAAATCGTGGATCGACTAATCACCTTGTCTAAGTGAATGAAGTTCTTATACTAATGGATACTTTCTTGGCCAGTTAATTTCCTGATAGATTTCTGCAAGAAAATTCTACGCCTCTCGAGCGCTTTTGAAACTACTCAAATTTACACCAATACTACCCTCCACAGATCCCATTAGCCAAGCTTTAATCTTAGCATTGTTGATGCTCCATTCGGCCGATTTTTTGGGATCATCAGATTTAGGTTCAGTTTCATCTCTATTTATATAGCCCAAAGTCCCTTGCCATGAATTACATTTTCCATGGATAAGGCCCAAAAAAAGTATAGTTATTTCCATTGAACTATAGGTACAAGTTGAAAGGACTTGGATTTTTTCCATTTGGGTAAGAAGGGCACTGACACTTACAACTATGCAACCAAGAAAATTGGAGAACACAGACAATGGGTTTTAGATTGGATGAAATAGGGATCACAATGGTGTCCTAATTATAAATAAAATTTCACTTCCAAATAAGATAATAACCTTTCTTTGGTGGAGTACGAACTTGTAAATGTCGTGAAAAGATGGATATGGCTAACTTATTACAAGAGGTTAAAAGGGAAAACGTGGGGTGTAAAGCAAAAGATGAAATTTGTGACAAAAGAGCAAGGGGAGAGTTCTAAAGCGTGAGTAGAAAGCAGATGTGACAAAAAGCAAGGGGGACAAAATATAATAAAAATGATGAAGGATAATACAATAAAGACAAAAAGCAAGGGGCACAATAACTCTTGTAAGAAACCTGACAAACAAACAAGGAGACGAAATCACAAGGAGACGGAATTACAAATCAGAAAAGAAGAGGGCCTCCATGTAAGAAGCCTAGCCAAATGAACACGAAGACAAAATTGCATATCAGAGAAGCCGGAGAATAGATATGGACAAACCTGGGTTGGTTTCAGTAAGCAGGAAGTAGTGGCACAATACTTGAGAGATGAAGTGCCAAATCGGGACCTCGCTCTAATACCATCTAGAAAATACTATATTTCTCTATGTAGAAACCACTGTATTCATCTGTAAATCAAAATTTTGTACTGTTACCAACTGTATACTGTTATAGAGAGACATATGAATGAACCACCTTCTGAATATGGTTATACAAAAGAGGAAAGGAAATATTGTAAACAAAATATATAGATGCTGCTATCTAGTAAGTAAAAGAAAGTAAATATATATATTAGAAATTCGGTTCATTCATACGTTTCTCTCTATAACAATAAACAATTTTTACACAGTTTGTAACCCTATAAATTGGGGATCTTGTACACAATATTGATATACAGAGAAATACAATATTTCCTACTTGGAGGAGTGTCATCTTAATAGCGAATGTTATTGTACTTTTGTAAAAATGCATCTCCGTACCCCAAAAACAAAAAGAATCAAAATAAACGGCAGGAAAAGGCAATGAGAATCTGAATGATGCTTTCAATGAAGTGATGGTGCCAGTAGGTTCTTTATGTTTAACATAAATACGATAAAATCCTACATTTATAAACCAAATGAAAGAGGCTATCTCAATGTCCGTACAGTAATTATTTTTATCCGTACTTTTTCATGTTTGCTTTTGGACGTACTTTTGATAATTCAGCTCAATATCTACATTAAAAATATTTACTTGGACATAACAGAAAACACTAATACACCGAAAGCTTTAATCTAAATAAACTAACAGAGCATGTTTTCTGAGAGAATCAGACACAGTAACATTGCTTCCAAAGATAAATTTCTTTTGAGGTTCTTAAAAATTACATGAGGGAGACTATGCCGCAACACAACTTGAGGACTGACATTTCGTCAAACACTTCAAAGAAGCATCAGCAACTGAGCTTTGGGGGGGGAGAGAGAGAGAGCACCTTAATGGGCAATACATTGCCGGATTCAAGAAGCTTACAAGAACCAGGACCAGCTCGTATTTGAAGGCGAAATGTCCTGGACAAAAAGAAAGGCTCCTCTTTAAACGATTTTAGCACCGAAACAATCTGCTTTCTCTCTGTCGTCAAGAGCTGCTTTCTTGAAACTGCGACGCCATTCTCCCGTTTAAACACAACAGCAGGGATCCTTCCCTGAGCCCTCTCTTTTGCTGCGACCCTGGGACCAATCAGCTCCCTTGGCACTGCTTGGATGGTGGTGGTATGAACCCTAGCTTCCAGAAGCTTCCTCGAGTTCATTAGAAGCTCCATGGCGCGATTGCTTTTCCGTAACATCTTTTAACTCGCTCTCTCTAACCCACTATCTCTCTGAATGGAGTGTCTTTGCCTCTGCGTCGTCCCACCCTCACGCCCTTAGCTTGGTTTGTGAAGGGAAAATCGGGTGTTCTAACCCGACTAGATCAGTCGATTCGGTTTCGATGAGTTTTGGTATCAGTTGGGTATTTTATAAGAAAATCATATAAACTTTTTAAAATTAGAAATTTTATTTGTAATGTATTTTTAATGTTTTTATCATTGTGTATTTTTAATGTTTTTATCATTATAGCAAAGATTAAAATTTATTTTAGTTATTAATATTTATTTTTATATTTTTCCATTATTTTTATAAAATTTCAAAAATACTTTTAGCACGAATCCATTATTTAGAATTTAATTTTTTCATCTGTTTTCAATATGCTTTTTGTTTAATCATTCCTTAAATATATTTTTCATTTTTATTAGATTTTGTTTTGTATGTGTTTTTATTTTTTCAACACTTTTTTACCTCCCGGATTTATCCGATTAGGACGGTTGAACCAACCCGCTGAACTGCTTTCGAGCCCATATCCAATTTAATCATTTCGATTCGATTTTTCGAACATTGTTTTTACCTCATTTGGTTTGGATTCTTTGGAGAAATGATTGGAAAAATCTCTGAGTTTAATTTTAATCGTCCGATTCAAATCGAAATGCCAAAATGTACCAAGGGGTGCCGAATTGGGGAACGTTCCCAAGTTGAACTGATCCTGGTGGATCGGCTAGCTATTGTACGTGTGACTCCCGATCGCAAAACTGAATTTAGCCGAGTCAGATTGTGTTTTTCTTTTTAACGTTTTTTCATCCTCCAAAAATTTTTGAGTTTCAAGTTTTTTTGGATGCGGGTTATGTGGTTCGCATGTCGGTGAATGGAGTAATGGGCATTTTCTATTTTAATTAGACAATATTGATTTGGAGTTATGGGCATCTTCTATTTTAATTAGACAATATTGATTTGACACTTTTCTTGATATGATAGCGAATAGATTTGTTACAATTTATTTTATTTAGAGATTTTTACATTTTTTAATATGATATTAAAAAGATTTGACGAAATCTATTTTATTTTATTTGGATAGTGTAGATTGCTACCATCTTATTTCTATCATATTATTGTAGTTTTATATTATTATTATTTTTAATTATTTAAGAACTCAATTGCCTATTGGACTCCTTGAGCTATTTTTTAATGATACTTTTTATCAATAAATATTCTTGAATTTTCCATAATAGTTTTGGTTTTTTTTTTCATTTAGGGCCCATTTGGCTCCCTTGATAAAATTTCTTCAAAAATTTCAGGGAGATATATGATTGAGAAGTTGCATGACAGAAAGAGGGCTTCATCATAGTTATCATGTGGTGGTTTCTAATGACACCACTTGAAACTTTAAAATAAGTTTACTCCCTAATATGAAAAAAGGGTCAAAACAAAAAAAAAAAAAAAAGAAAGAAAAAGAAGGTCATGCTCACCATAAATAAGCAAATATCTTCTCAATGCTTTTATAGATGTCTTCACATGTCTTTTTTGAGCTTCCTTGTCTCTTTTGAGCCTTCTACCTACTGATTCGCGGTTCCTATCTGGTGCTTAGTTGAAATCTTTTCTAAAAATGAAATAAAAAGAGAAGATTAGAAAACTTTTCCTCCTTCTTGATGTCAATCGTTAAAAATTATTCGTACTCTAAAGCATAAACAATGCAGAGTAAATTGTATTTGTTAAAAAAAGATAAATTATTTGAAATGCGACATCTCAAAGGTAAAATATCATAGAAATTAATTTTCAAGGTCCCAAAAAAATCCTGAGAATTGCTTCAACTCGGTTAGCCGAGTCTGGGCAAGGTGACTGAGCTTGTACTAGGCCTCGGTCAATGCATGGGACTTGCATGCGCCGACACTTGGTTTTGTTACAATCCTCCTTATTTCCCTTTTGCCTCGGTCTTAAGATGTCAAATGGAAAATTCCTCAATGTAAGTTTAATAATATGTATCATAAGTTTTTAAACTATTTTCTCCTTTAGCATTAACGAGATATATCAAATTGGATTAATGTTTAGAATTGTATTTATAAATACAAACTCCTAAGTCTAAAGAATTTCTAATTTTAAGGAATTAGTTTTGTTGCTTCTTATTTTTTTGGATAGTTCTTATTAGATAGGATGATTATCTTTTGGATTAGTTCTAGTTGGATTAGAATAGACATGAGATTCTACCTAGTTGATTAGGATAAAGTTGATTTTCAAAAAAAAAGTTGCGCCATCATGTAGGTTTTTTTTGGATTTTTTTTTGCACTAATTAAATTGAGAAGATACTACAAAATGCCTATAGGCAAAAATGAAGAGTGATTTTGCCTACCCTTATCATCATCAAAACTTCACTGCACGGTTATAGTTGTACGGTAGTGTTTCAATTTTTATTTATTTATACTTATCGAAATGATTTGAAATTTGTAGCGTGTGTACATCTTAGTGAGACACATCTAATAAAAATATAAAAAAAATAATTTCCAAAATATAAAGTAATCAAAATACCTCTAAATTTTTTAGGGCTATTTTGGTTAATTTTTATTTTACGAATTATTTTTTTATATTTTGTAGGGGTGCCTCATTAAGATGTACATAGATTCCAATTTCAAGTAATTTGGATTTGTAAAAAAAATGAAAATTGAAATACTACGAGATACCTGTGACCGTACGATGAAGTTTAGATGGTGATGAGAGTAGACGAAATCACTGTTCATTTTTGCCTATAAGTGTTGGGAAGAGTTTTCCATTAAATTTTATTATAGAGAGAGAAAACATATAGAAAAGAATGGAAACTTGAGGGTATAGAGATAAAATTATAGAGAGAAAGCTTAATGGGGGATTGAGTTTTGTGACTCTATTCACTTATTATTATAGAGAGAAGGCTTATTGGAAGATTGAGTTTTGTGACTCTGTTCACTTATTATTATCTAACAAAAATATGCAAAAGAGTAATGATCCTATTAGATCCTCCCACACCCATGTGTGTAGGATCCCAAATGATCATCATTAAATTTAGCACAAATTTCGAAAAAAGTTATCATATAGGTATGAGACTTGACTTTTTTAAAGATCTGTACTAAATTTAATGGTGATTCCTTACAGTCCTACACAATCTTTCTTGTTTGCCAATTTTCAAATTGGATGGTTGTGAAAATGTAACAATCCTAAACTTTCAAAAAAAAAAAAAAAAAAAAAAAAAAACTTTTAATACATGATGATTCGTTTGAACATGATGGTGTTTAGGGACCATCGCTACTTTTGAAAGCTTTTCGTTTAAAAGCTTTGTGTTTCCTTGCTCTTGCCACGTCCACTAAAGGACGTGGGCTTTAGGTGTTTAAAGCGTAAACTAACGCTCATACCTGTAAAGTAATAAAAGCTTGAGGTGTTTAAAGCGTAAACTAACGCTCACACCTGTAACGTAATAAAAGAATAAAATAATATGTTAGTAGAATTTAAATTCAGAGAGGTAAAGACTCCTTCCTTAGAAATATTTTGAGATTTTTTCTCTGGTCGAAACACAGTGAACTCCTCTCTCAACCCGAATTTTTATCGGAAGCTCCCTCTCAAATATTTGTGAGTACATCCGATAAAATTGGAACGATACAGAGAAGATTAGCATGGCCCCTGCGCAAGGATGACCTATGCCAATAGAAACTTACACTGGACAGAGATCACTATCCATCAGAGCAAATCATGGCTTCCATCATCAAGTCTTGCCAGTTTACAGATGTCTTTTATCTAAGTGAATATGCCTTATATCCTACACTTTGCTCTACCTTCTCTAAATGTTGTTTCTTTTACATAAATTTGGCTATGATGGAGGCGCAAAGGCCACAAAGGCAACCCTAGAGATCAAACACACTCCTACACCTCACAAAAAAAAGACACGATAATCCAAAGGAGTATGGTATAGGATAGTCAAAAGCACATACACCGTCCATTCCCTTCGACGATGGTGGAGATTAACCGCAACGGTGTAAATGTTCCAAGGGGCTTACTACAATGAAACTCCATAGGCAAGCTCAGATGGTGAATGTGTTTTCTTCTACTCTCGGCCATACTCCTCAGGAGCACGATATAACTAGTCCAATGCCTTACAAGTTTGGACCTCAACACTCTCTGTAAGGCTCCTACACAAGAAACGCATTCCCACTGCACTCAAGACAGTTATAGCACAAGCAACCCACACCACCCACCGCAAGGCAGGAGGAACACTAATCCATAAGTACCCTAGAAAAGCAAGGGTTAGGGCAACTATGGACCCTAGAGTGGCCATTTTAAGGGATTTTCTCTCCTCAAAGGCCTCAGGCTTGGCTGAATGCAATATCAAAAGGAAATCAAGCAACCCCATGGTCAAGAATGTGGCAATGCAGAAAATATTGATGAGAGGTGTAGGAGTGTGTTTGAACAGAACAGATCCTGTTCAAGTAAGGTCGTACATCCGTTTCCATTGACACGATGGAGACACGCACATCAATCTGGAAGATGATAGAATGCCACGTGGTCAGGGTGTGAATACTGGCTTTGGACTCCATGGAGATCCATCCTATGCCAATAGAAACTTACACTGGACAGTGATCACTATCCATCAGAGCAAATCACGGCTTCTATCATCAAGTCTTGCCAGTTTACAGATATCTTTTATCTAAGTGAATATGCCTGATATCCTACTCTTTGCTTTACCTTCTCTAAATGTTGTTTCTTTTACATAAATTTGGCTATGATGGAGGCGCAAAGGCCACAAAGGCAACCCTAGAGATCAAACA